TGCAAGATTTTCTTTCTTTCTGATGATGCCTTAGTACAGGTGTTGAAATTGGTTTCCACTGGTGGGGTACCCATTGCATATGCTCAGGGACATTTGCTGAGGTGGTCTCACGATGTGTCATTATGACTGGGGATGTTCCAGATTTGATTTTGAGGGCCATCCATGCTTCAGTTAGCAAACCTCCTGAGTCAGAATGTTGTTAATTCACATCCAAATTAAGAGCCTTGAAATCACAAACAAGGATGACACTACTCTGCAGTACTGAAGCAGCCTTGCACTGTTAGAGGTAATGGCCTTTGGATGAGAAGTTAAATTGAGGCCACCTCTGCCCCATGGCATGATTTCAAACAAGAACAAAGAGGGTCTCCCTGAATTGTGGTCAATTATCATCCCTCAAATAACATCACTAAAATAGCTGATCTAGCTAATTTCACATTGATTGCTGGGAGGTCCCTGACCACATGTTGGTTGTCATTCTGCAAAAGTTTCTGCACTTCAAAAGTACTCAATCTCTTTTGTTCTTTTATGGGATAGGGATGTCCCTTGAACTGAGTAGGTTGCTTGACCACTTCAGAGTTGACCACATCAATATAAATCAGAAGTCATAGCAAGGCCAGACTGGGTAGGAACAGTAGATTTCCTTCCCCAAAAGATCTTAGAATTTTTTCTTATTCATTTAGTGAACCAGATGGAATTTTATGACAATTATATGCGTTTGGTCACCATCATGTTTGCTTTTGATTAAAAGTTTTTATTAATTGAATTTAAATTCATAAGCTGCTGTGGCGTGATGTGAACACACAACTCCAGAGAATTAGTAAATAAAAACCGAAAGAACTGGGGATGCTGTAAATCAGGAACAAAAACAGAAGTTTCTGGAAAAGCTCAGGAAGGGTCACTGGACTCGAAACGTTAACTCTGACTTTTTTCTTCACAGATGCTGCCAGACCTGCTGAGCTTTTCCAGTAACTTCTGTTTGTGTTCCAGAGAATTAGCCTGTGCCTTCAAATACCTAATCGGTGATATTCCCTGTATTATAGCATCTGGCTCTGAGACAGCTGCAAAGTACTTTGAGAAATGCTACCTTCTTACTTGACAGACTCTCGTGTTGGTTTTGAACCCACAACCTTTTGACTCCCAAGTGAGAGTATTACCCTGGGCACCAGCTGACTCGGCATGAATGAGAGCAAACACCGATTCAATGATAGGCATTTAAGGGGAATTCCATGACTATTGAAGCACTTGGCCTTACTTGCAACAAGAATTGACACTTGTGATGAGCAGTGAGCTCTTGTGCATTTTGTGGGTTTCATAGCAAAACATTGTTTCAGTAGCTGTAAAGCCTGTGGGGTACTGATCAGTATGAAACTCCTTAACACCAATAGATGGCACAAGAGCTTTGGCTTAGTCAGGAAGCCTAGCCTAATTTTCTGATATTGAAGTATTTAGTGCTGAGAAACACAGAATAGCTGCACTGACTTTCAGAACACCTCGAAATGGAATGAGGAATCCTCCTGCTTTAACCGAGCTTACCCTAGTTTTATCTGACTTACTTCTAAGCACTGTTCAACAATGACCGGTTGGTTAGAAAGTAGTCATTGCACAACAGTGACTTAAGGGAAGGACTTGTATTTATAATATCACTACCTACAACCTCAGGGTGCCCTAATGCAGCCAATTCAGCACTTTTGAACTGTTCTAGTGGAGGAAACACAAGCAGCTAATCTGTGCACAGAAAGCTCCCACAAACAGCAAACCAATTTCCAGCCAATTTGTTGTTGGCGTTGGGTAAGGAATAAATATTGGCCAAGTAACCAGCTCTTCCTAACACAATACCATAAGTTTAGGAACACAAGAATAGGACTAGGCCACTCAGTCCATCAAGCCTGTCCCATCATTCTGGATGTGGCTGATTGTCCTTCAATACCATTTTTCTGTACTATATATATAATATATCCTTTAATGCCATTAGTCTCCTAATGCCTTTCAAATTCTGTCTTGAAACTGCACAAAGTTTGAGCTTCCTCAGCCCTCTGGGGCACAGAATTTCAAAGATTTGCCGCCCACCTGAAGAAATTCCTCCTCATCTCAGTCTTAAATTGCCTGCCTTGTCCTGAGATTATGTCCCCTGGTTTTAGAGCCACCATCCAGGGAAAACATCTATCTATAGCCATCCTGACATGCTTTCCAAGAATTTTGTAAGTATCAATGAGGCCACCTAAAATTCTTTGAAATATACAATCACTGTAAGCCACCTTTACTGCTGTACTCAAATTCCCTTGAAATGAATGTCAACACATTGTTTGCCTTTCTAATTGTTTCCCCGCCTGTATGCTAGCTTTTAAGTGATAAGGGTACGCAGATCTCTTTGGACACCTGCACATTCTTTACAAAGAGCTACATAAAATATTTATCAAAGAGAAAGGCCATTTGGCCCAAATATTCTATGCAGGCATTTATGATCTGCTTGAGCCTTCTCCATCTCACTTTATCACTTTAACCCATTTGCATTCGACTGGGTGTGGCACCATGGAGTCCTAGCAAAACTAGAATCAATGGGTATCAGGGGGCAAACTGTACAGCGGTTGGAGTCATAACTGACACGCAGGAAGATGGTTGTGGGAGGTCAATCATCTCAGCTCCAGGACATCTCTGCAGGAGTTCCTCAGGCTAGTGTCCTCGACCCAACCATCTTCAGCTGCTTTGTCAATGACCTTCCCTCCATCATTAGGTCAGAAGTGGGTATGTTCTCAGATACTGAAGCAGTCCCTGTTCAAATGGAACAAGATCTGGACAATATCCAGGCTTGGGCTGACAAGTGGCAAGTAACATTTGTGCCACACAAATGCCAGGCTATGACCATCACCAATAAGAGACAATCTAACTATCACCCCTTGGCATTCAATGATGTTACCATCACTGAAACCCCCACTATCAACATCCTGCTGGTTATCATTGACCAGAAACTTGACTGGACTCATCACATAAAGACAGTGGCTACAAGAAGAGGTCAGAGGCTGGGAATACTGCTGCGAGTAACTCACCTCCTGACTCCTCAAAACCTGACCACCATCTACAAGGCACGAGTCAGGAGCGTGATGGAATACTCTCCTTTTGCCTGGATCAGTACCACCCCAACAATACTCAAGAAGCTTAACACCATCCAGGACAAAGCAGTCGCTTGATTGGCACTAACGTCCACACACATCCACAAACATCCACTCCGTCAACCACTGATATTCAGTGTGTACCATCTACAAGATGCACTGCAGAAATTCACCAAATATCTTCAGACAGCACCTTCCAAACCCATGACCACTTCCATCCAGAAGGACAAGGGCAGCAGATATATGGGAACACCACCACCTTCAAGTTACCCTCCAAGTCACTCACCATCCTGACTTGGAAATATATTGCTGTTCCTTCACTGTCACTAGGTCAAAATCCTGGAATTCCCTCCCTAATGGCATTGTGGCACCCACAGTAGGTGGACTGCAGTGGTTCAAGAAGGCAGTTTACCACCACCTTCTCAAGGGCAACTAGGGACAGGCAATAAATGCTGGCCAGCCAGTGATGCCCATGTCCCACAAATGAATAATAAAAAAAAAACACAAGGAGGTCTTGAGCCACACAGTAGCATCCCTATCTCTGGGTCAGAAGGTCTGGGTTCAAGGCCTTATGAGCGCTGACTTGAGTACAAACCAGAGTCAAGCAAGGCTGAGACAGTGCACAAACGTTATTCTCCATCCTCCTCACTTCAGCACTCCACCCCATCTCCAAGAAACTTCCCACTGGAATGGAATTTCTCTACACGACAAGTAGGAAACTGTTCAACATGTGCCTCCAATACAGAACCAAGACCACCCCAACCTCTGTCATCGAGTTGCAATATGCAGATGACACTTATGTGTGGATACACTCAGAAATCAAGCCCTAAACCAATGTTGACACAGTACATTCAGAGAGGTAGATGACAGAATGGGCCTCAGGCTAAACATCTCAAAGACAAAAGTCCTCTAACCATCTGTTCACCTTGTACAATTCATCCTCCTGAATATAAAGAGCCATGGATAATGTGAATCATTTCTTATACCTTGGAAGACTTCTCGGAGCAACAGTAGACATTTAACCACCTTCAGTGTACCAGCATGACCTTTGATTGTCAGGAAATAAGTGCTTCATGACAAGTCGAGCATCATGTTCATGGTTTACAGGGAAGCAGTGCTAGCTAGCCCCTTGTGTGCATTGACATGGATTATGCAGCAGACACCTTAAATCCCCAAAGAAGTGCCCACGGAGAAGTTGCTGTGAAATCCTGCAAATCCATATTGGCACTCCAACATCAGTGTTCTCTCTCAGGCCAACATCCCTAGCATTGAGGCACTGTTTTTTGCCATTCAGCTACATTGGATGGACCATGTTGACCGCAGGCCTGTCACAAGAATCCTAAAACCAGATCTCCACTCCAAACTTTGTCACAGCAAGTGATTGCTAGGATTGCAGAGGAAAAACATCACAAACATCCTTAAATCTTTTTTGAAAAATGCAACATTCCTACCAACACATAGGTTTCTTTTGCTCAAGATCATCCAAATTGCAGAAGAAGCATCCATGAAGGCACCAACTATTTCAAGCATCTCAAACAGACGCAGATGAGGGCCAGGTACAGACAGAGGAAGGAGTGTGTTTATGAAATATTGTTAGTACTTGGTTTGTTTAACTCTTGGACAGTAACAAAAAGTTTAAATATCAAATCTACGTGTCAATATTTTTCAGTTAATAACTGGGATTTCGAGCTTCTGTTTAAAAGTTACTGCCCTTCCTCGCTGTCTTCCCTCTCTCCTTCTTTATCTTCTCAATTCTGGGGGATGCCCTTGTTTGAAGGTGATGTTGTCTATGTTTCTGTCTGTGGAAGAGAAAGGGAATCCTGTAGATGTCACACGCGTTCCCGCAACCACTCTCCCGTAAGCGCGCGCGACCTACCGCGTGCCCGAGCGGCTCCGCGTTCCCGAGTGAAGCGGAGGAAGCAGTCGCGCTGCTCCAGGGTTTAAGCAGGAGAAGCTGGAAACAGGTAAGAGACCAGGAGCCGGGGAGAGCCGGCTGCCACCTTGCACCTCCTACCCTTTTCTCTGTGATTCAATCTTACCCCGACCTCGTAACCTGATGTAGACCAGAGGGTTCTGTCTGTCTCTCTGTCTAACCATCTCTCTGTGTCTCCATCTGTTTCTCTTTCAGTGTTTCCATCTCTTCTCTGCCCCCGCCCCGTCTCCCCTCCTGTCTATTTATCTATCTGTGTGTGTGTCTTTCTCTCTTTCTCTGTACTCACTCACTCTCCCATGCCCTCTCAATCTCTGTTCCCCTCAGTCTCTTGGTCCCCCTCTCTGTCTTCTCCCCCGCCTCTCTGTTTTTTCCATTAATCAGTGTATTTGTCTTCATGCCTTTCTCTTTTTGTCTCTTTCCCTTTGCTTCTGTCTCTCCCGATGAATTCCATTAACGTTTCTTGATAAATATGTTGAGAAGTTGAATTATGTTCTAAAATTGGTACAACTGGTTTCAGGGTAAAGTGCCAGGCAGTGCCAGTCTCTGTCTCTCTTTGTTGCCCAATTGCTCCCTCACCAGTCTGATAGATCCTCACTGGAGATCCCTGTTCAGATTGTTATTTTTCTCTAACATTGTGATAGGGAGATAAAAGTGTAGAAAGATTAGTCCCCTGTGCTATCAATTTATGGATGCCAACATGTGTTTATTTAAACTGACCCCTTTATCAATTGATTCTATGTATTTCGCTCCTGACTTCCCTTAATTTGTATTTAATGCCGGTAGCTTGTATCCTACTGTGAAGATTTCGAAATGTCACTTATCCTTTTGCCCTCATTCCCTTGCGTTGTTACTGCCTTTCCCTCGCTACCTTTCATTGCCCTCAAAGTACTCAGTGGGGCTGTTTCTGCAGTGATCAGGAATACAAAGCTGACCAGTGCTGACACTCTTCTCTCTGTTGCTCTTAACACCTTTCACAGTGGCAGCCTCCTGGATCACATGTGTAAACCTTCCCACAGCTTTAAACAGCTCCTAGAGATTATGAAAGTTCAACTGCTTCTCAATCTGTAAATTCCAGTGTTACATCGTTCAACCAAATGTACAAGTGTAAGACCAGATTCATTCTTAAGTCTGGGGATGCGAGCTGAGTTTACAGAATAGGATTTCAGTAAAGAGGGAGATCATTCACCCATCATACCTGTGGTTGCTTTTTGTAAGGGGCATCTAACTGGTCCAACTCCCTTACCTTTTACCCATAACATGACATTTTTCCACTTCAACAATTTATCCAATTCTCCTTTTAAAATTCTTACTGCATTTGCTTCCAAAACTCTTTCAGGCAGTGAAACCCCAAGAAATCACACCACACTGTGAGGGGAAGAAAGTATTCTTCTCTATTTCTGACTTGTAGAGACGACCTTTAGGTAAATTGACTTCCATTTGTCCAGTTGCACATCGCTGGGGTTTTTGCAAACAGATTTTAAATGGAATGTTAGAAATGTGTTATGGAAGGTCTCATTATTTTGATTTAAAAATAATTTTCATGCATGACTGCATGACAATAAATTTAATGTGTGGTTTTAATATTTGTATGAAGTCCTCTGCTGTACTTTGGGAATTGTGCCTATTTCTTGTAACCTCCTGTTCTATTCACCAAAAGTACTCTGCTTGATTGTATATTTTATGTATCACAATAGAACACAGAACATAGAACACAGAACACAGAACAGTACAGCACAGTACAGGCCCTTCGGCCCACGATGTTGTGCCGAACTTTTACCCTAAACCTAAGGTCTATCTAACCTCCAACGCTATCTTATACTATCATCCTTATGCCTATCTAATAGCCGCTTAAATGCCTCTAATGAGGCCAACTCCACTACCCTCTCCGGCAATGCATTCCACGCTCCTACCACTCTCTGAGTAAAGAACCTACCTCAGACGTCTCCCCGATATCTACCTCCTTTCACTTTAAAAATATGTCCCCTCGTAACAGCAACCTCCACCCTAAGAAAAAGTCTCTGGCTGTCTATCTATACCTCTGATCATTTTGTACACCTCTATCAAGTCATCTCTCATCCTTCGTCGTTCTAAAGAGAAAAGCCCTAGCTCTCTCAACCTTTGAACAATGATCTGTTCTCTGTCTTTTTTAACATACTTAGCTATCATATGCACTATTATCAGTCACTGCATTGTGGGTTGGTCATGAAAGACCATGTTTTGAAGACTCTGATTATATCTGTCAGACTCTGCCTTCCGTTTAACACTGTGGCCCCTTTAGTGTGCTTCTTCTGAATTCATTGGGGTTTTTTTTGCAGCTGGAAAAATTGGTCAGGCAGTCAGTTTGAAGTAGGCTTTACTGTTTGTTATAACATATTAAATAGATGTTAACATATTAACTAGGTATAAATCATCCTAGGCTCATTCAACATAAAAAAATGAATGTTTTGACCAAGTTTCCAAGGACAGTGAAAGAGTACAATAGGAATGTTAAAAATGGTTACTTTATGGCACTTAGGAACAGGAGGATTTCATTCAGCCCATCCAGTGTTCCACCATTCTGTTAGACTATACCTGCTCAGTTGCTTAGATTGAATTGAACTTTCTTCCATTCCTCACAACCTATACCTAATAAGAATCCATTAGTTTCAACTTTTGGTATTGCCCTCCAGCCTGAACTGCTTTTTTAGCAGGGGAAGAATTCCAGATTTCCACTAGCTTTTGTGTGAAGAAGTTCCTCCTAACATCACTAATGAACAATCTTGTTAATTTTAAACTCACATTCCAGAGTTTGGATTCACCTGCTGGAGTCCATAGCTTTTCTATCTACCCTACTAAATGGTTTCGAACACCTTGACCAAATCATCCCTGAACTTTGTCTGCTATACCCAAAGCCAGGTTACTTGCTCATTGTCTCCTGATGCTTCACTTTGAGTAGGTCTTTGGAGTGGTGGTTTGCCCATTTCATTTTGCTCTCAGAGCAGGATAAGGAGGCAGATCCTCAGTCGACTTCAGCAAGAACAGGAGTAAATTCACAGTATTCATATTATTCTGACCACATGTAGCTAACTGAGCTAACAAGTGCACTTTTTTTTAAACAAAGCAATGCAAATCTAACCTTGCATGCTGCCAGTAGTGATTGTAACAAGGTCAGCCAGGTGGACGTCATAGAATATGAGTTCCCTGTGTTTGGGGCTGTTAACCTGGTCCAATCAGGGAGCCCTGGCTGACAGATTAACAAGCATGTCAGAGGTTCTCTTCACTCTGAAAGCTGGCTCTGAGGGAGCTGGATCAGTGTCACGTACTGTGCACATGTAAATAAAAGGTGATTTGCTGGCATATTACTAGCCTCTGTGGAGTTATTTCAGTGGTGACGAGAAAAAAATGTTCCTGAAGAAACTCACTTGCAACAGTCATCTTTGAGTTGGGGGTAAGCATTTCTGGCATCATGCCGTTATTTGGGAAGCTTGACTCGTTCAATCCTGCCTTCGAAGATTGAGCCCAGTATGTGGAAAGAATGCGTTATTTTTTCCAGGCAAATGACATCGGGGCAGATGGAAACAATGGGTAATTCCCCTGACAGCTTGTGGACCTGCAACTTTTTTGGTTATGAGGAGCCAATGTTTCCTGAGGCACCAGATACTAAAACCTTTCAAGAGTTGACGGTTTCAGCTAAGGAATATACGATCCCAAGCCTTCTCTAATTCTTAGACACTATCGGTCTTACTTGGCAGTTCGAGAACCAGGGGAATCCGTGTTCGAATTTAAGACAACTGGCAGAAACATGTGACTTTGGTTTAACCCTTAGTGAGATGCTGAGAGACCGTTTGGTACATGGGATTACTGATGTAACCATGCAAAAGCTTCTACTAGCTGAAGTCTAACTGGACTTCAAACAGGCACTACAACTGGCTTTATTTGAAAATGCAGCATGAGTTACAGGGTATGCTGATGGAAGTGGACACCCTCACCAGGCCGAATGAGTTTGGGGGACACCACTTGAATGAAGGCAATTTGCAAAACCTCACTTAGGACATATCCTGAACAGAGGGACTCTAGATCAGCCCACAGCAAAACCTCAAAATAAGCAAAGCCTCGGCCAAATAATTAACATTATCTTCAGGATCCGGGCTGGCAAGCTATTATAGTTGCTGTCCTGATGTGGACTTGAGACAGCAAAAGAGGCCTCTCGGCCTGAACCAAATAAGAGAATGTATATGCCAGTATCGAAGAGACTGCACTCCTTGAAAAGACTACCTCCACCTCGCTTGGAACAGTCAAAATTCGTAAGCAACATAAAAATCAGATCCAATCAAAATAAAAATCTGGTTAAATGGTTAAACTGGCGTTGCTGTATCAGTGACTGCAGAACCAGTCTTTAACAAAATTTGATCTCAACTCCAAACCTCACGTTTGTGTAAGACCTTGGCTACACTGAGAACCTATACTGGGGAATCTTTACAGATTAAGGGTACAACTTCGTTTCCAGTCTCTTATCAGAAGCAGCAGGCTAAGTTACCACTGACTGCAGTAAAAGCCTTGAACACAGGGATGCCTACCTTGAAGAAGTTATCCTCCTCCCTCCAGAAAGACCTCAGTGGACTTCCACTTCCTACAGACTAAGGAGGTGACCATGGGAACCCGCATGGGCCCAAGCTATGCCTGCCTCTTTGTAGGATATGTGGAACAGTCCCTCTTCCGCAGCGACACTGGCACTATCCCCCACCTCTTCCTCTGCTACATTGATGACTGTATCGGTGACGTCTCGTGCTCCCACGAGGAGCTTAAACAGTTCATCAACTTTACTAACGCCTTTCACCCCAACCTCAAGTTCACCTGGACCATCTCTGATACCTCTCTCTCCTTCCTGGACCTCTCTGTCTCCATCTCTGGTGACCATCCTGAAACTGATATCTATTTCACGCCCACTGACTCCCCCAGCTACCTAGACAACACCTCCTCTCATCCACCCTCCTGCAAGAATGCGATCCCATACTCCCAATTCCTCTGCCTCTGCCGCGTCTGCTCCCAAGA